CCACACGCCTGCCAGACCTAGAACACGCTCTGGGTTGTTGAGGAAACGATAAATGCCGTTGTATGTGAGCTTTGGAGAATCATCGAAGAAGAAGTCACCGTAGAACCAGCCAAATTCGCCGAGAGAATCGTAGATGCTGACTGAAGTCCAGATTTGCAGACTGATCAGGCCAGCTCCAAGCACGTGTCGGAACAGAACTAGACCATAGCCCCAATCGGCCGGGAATGTGTACATCTTCCACACGGCAGCAATAAAGCTAGAGTAGCACAAGACCATGCTGAGATGATAAGTGCCCTTCCATTGGTTCCACGCTTCCTGCGGCGTGTCACCATACTTGACAAAGTGCCTTGTCCATGATTTGGAGTTGGATTGATTCCGAAGGATATATCCAATGCCTACGGAATACCAGATTCTGGAAGCGGCGGCGAGGAACACAAACAAGAACTGATACCCTGGTGTAGAGGGTGTCAATGTTGTAATAGAGAATACAAGAAGTTGAACCAGTATGATCGATGAATCCGTGGTTCTATACAAATCCAGGTTGTGCAGCCCCAGGAGGTTGTGAACGGACTGGGGCGGATTGACAGAATACGAAGATGTCGCGTTGGGAGCCTGGTCTTCAGACGGGGTTGGCGCTGTCGGAGTGTCTAGATCGGTGGGCAAGCTGGAAGAAGAACCCGCATAGGTAGAGCGCTTTCTGGGTGGTGGCGGGTTATAAGTCTTGTCGATGTGCGGGTTCTCCACCAGAACAAGGAAAGCGAATTGTGCTGCATGGGCAATGATTGAGATGAGCAACACTTTATAGCTGGCTGCCATCAGAGAGATTCCGTAGTAGCCCGCATAGCCAACCGAGTACATGGGGTGAGGTGCCATTTCAAACACGCCATCAAAAGTCAATTCTTGATCAATGAGGTAGAAGAAATCACCCCAATACCATGCATAGTCCTTCACCACTCGATGCGCATCCAGTTTGACCCAGAGGTTAAACAGCACTAACACGATGCCTGCGGTCCATCGAAGAACAGTCATGAGAATACTCTCGTCAACGGGTTGGTGGCCACAAGCTATGGCGAAAAGACAGTAGGAAGTGAAGTCACACATGAGAATCAAGTCCACAAGACGCCTAAAGACAAGCCAGGTGTTGTATTCAATTGGAGCATTGTCGAACGAGTAATCCTGCGGGACCTTGGTCTCCAGTTCCCGTTTGAGCCAATTATATAATGTGGGGTGGGGGTTTTCCCCAGTGGCTGGGTTGACAAAGATTTTGGTCTTCTCGGCCCATCGAATCATCGTCTTGTGGTGCGACTGGTTGTGAAGCAGCCACCCAATTCCTGCATTATAAGCCAGACGCCAGAAGAGGTAGGTGGCTGCAAAGACCGGGATTTTGGCACCCGCGGGGAGGGCCCAGAGAAACAGAATATGACCCGCCAATAGAACTAAAACCACAAGATCACCAAAGTTCTTTGGCTCAGACGGCAAAAGCAGCTGAGAGACCATATCATGAGTCTGGGGGACAGTGAACACTGAAGGACCCGGTTAGCAGCGGGCTCTCGACAAAACATGAAGGAAGAATGGTTTGGTGCATCCATTTAAGTCAATTGCAAACATAATTAACATATAACAAGCTTACCTGTTCCATCAGGAGTTCTCCCAAAGGTCTTCAATTCTTTACCATCTTTGTCTTTGACCTCCACTTCGCCGACGGCTGTTAAAGCCTCGCGACCGACTGTTGAATCGACGCGTATATTTCTCTCACGTAGCCCATCAATATCTTGATGGGCCCCTGTTGAAAGGCCTTGATCCATGGTGTGCCACTTTACAAGGGTGTTGAGAGAGAGAAAACTGTTGAGACGGAATGTGACGACAGAAGCATGTGATAATCGAAAAAGCGGAACTATGCTTAGTCAGTAGAAACGGACACGAGGTCTTTCAGGGCTGCTTGATGATTTGTCCTCTGTGTCCAAGGTTTTTTTGTTCCTGACAATGGGAGGTCCCTCTCTCTCTTTTTTTTTTCTTTCTGAGAGACAAAGAGAAGAAATTACCGAGGAGACCAATTATTATTTATATCAATTCCGATAAAGAGTGGAACCGTTGAGACTTGCGAGTTCTCAAGAAATGCGGGCCTCCGAATGGAGCGGAAGGGGAAAGAAATGGGGCCTAAGTGGCTTTAGTCCGCTTCTTCGCTAGAGATGTGTTGGGAAATACCCTTGTCTAGTTCGATTTCGGATAGGCTTTGCGACACCCATGTCTCATGTCTATCCATTCCTCTCTTGCCCATGGCTATATACACTTGATCAACAGCGGGGTATTGTGCAATGCGGTAAGTGCGGCATCTTATACGGTGTACATAGTGCCACGCGATAGCACATACCTTGTGCACTTACCGCCTGTGTTGATAGGATGCGTATCTCATTTCCGGAGCTCAAGCCCCCAATACTTTGTATATAAAATGCATTGTGATCGTGTCCGCATGTTCCACGGACGAATTAGATGATCCACGGCCGTGGAGTACTTGACATCATCCAATAATTCAAATCCCTGGTTGTTGATCAGAGCCAGAATTGAAAACCCCCTGTTGCGATGTACAGGCACCGTTAATGTCAATGCGTGCAAGATTGATAATAATGGATACTCATAATAGTGCACTGCCTACTCCGTACCTGTATTAATTTTACTACAACGTATGTGGTATATGCAACAGGGATGATCAAATCCAAGCTGCAGCCCAAAATCCCCGCTTCTTGTCTTAGTGGTGTGCTAGATGCAGCCTTTCAAGCTGTTCCACTGGGCCACGTCCATCCGGCTGCAGCGGAGGCGCTAGATCAAAGCTCTGGTCCCCCTAGTTAAGTGCTGACAGGGCCCGGGATTATTTTCACCCTGTGGAGTTACTTATTGTTTGAGTGGTTTTCATATCTCCACGGGTAGAACTTGCATACACTAGAATGTAGGTAGAACCTGATTAGGCATATAAATTAGCGATAGGTACTCTAGCATCCTTCGGGGTTTGAAAGTCTCTTTCAGCTTTGTGGGGCCCATTTCAATCTCATTACATGAAGCTCAATTAACTCAAAGACTCAAAGCCCCGGCCTATACTCCGTACTGTAACACGTTGATGGAGTCGATGCCAAGGTTGCCGCCTCGTTACATAAGCCAACTACGAAGCCAACTACGCGACAGCCCTTGAAGCCTCTGTTCTCGTATTTCTTCTTTTCTAGGTATCAGAAAGCTCACTTACAAGGAAGATGAATGTATTCAAAATATGGGTGAGATGGCGACCTCTCAACCCGAGTGAGGCCGAAAAGGGAGAAATCCAGCGGGAATATGGCCAACATCATAACAATCCACAGTCATGCATCTCTATTACTTCACCTTTACAAGCTAAAGCGCTTTCTACCCGAGGAAAACACTGGAAGAGTGGATTCTCATTTGATGGGATCATTGAATATGATGATAACAACCACTTGGTATTCAACCGTGTCGTTGCACCAATCATCCCACAAGTTCTGGAGGGCAAGTCTTGCAACTTCTTTGCATACGGCCACTCAGGTAGTGGCAAATCTCACACCATGATTGGCTACGACTTTGAGCATGCCAATGAGTTTGGGCTTTGTTTAGCTGCTGCGCAGCAACTCAGCGCTGTACTAAAAGACATCAACATGGAGGACAGCAACTATCAATTCGGCATTGGGCTTCGTGTGTTTGAACTACGGAAAAATATTGCTTTCGATCTCCTTAATGAGAGGAATGAGTGTTTTGTCCGCGAGGGATCTGATGGCCGGGTCTACATCCGTGGCGAAACAGAAATGTTGGAAAATGGCAAAGTGAGAGTCCGACCAATTGCTACGAAGGCTTGTTGGAGCTTCGAAGAGCTGCATCAGGAGCTGCAAAAAGGCCTGAAACACCGCAAGACTGCGACTTCGACAATGCACGATCAAAGCTCACGCACGCATGCCGTGATCGAACTAGAAATCATCACCAAGGATCTTCTCGATGCGCGTGATCAAGTGGTTGAGCGACAATCTGAGCTTGTTCCTGTGGGGAAACATGCAACAGATGTTTATATTGAGGAACAATCTCGCGCGATTGTCCAAACTGAAGAGGGGAAATTCGTTCCAAATCCTGATTATCAAGTAGATCAAGCACGTGTCGATGCCGCAGAAGCCAAAAAGGCCGAGTTTGAATCTCGCGTGAAAGAAGCGGACGAGCATGAATCTGGGGTCTTTGCAACTACCGCTCAAACACATCGATGTATTGGTGGGAAGCTTGTGTTCGTAGATCTGGCCGGTGCTGAGTTCCTTTTCAGCACGACTGGGTCTGCGCTCAAACAAACCCCCCAAGAGAAGCAGGAAGGAAGGCAGATAAATACCGACCTTCTCGCGTTGAAAGAAGTGATCCGAGCCCGATCGAGCAAGAAGTCCCGTATCCCATACCGTTCCTCTCCACTGACTATGGTGCTACGGGAGCATTTCGAGGCATCAACCGATACTCATTCAGCCATGATATTGACTGTCTCGCCGGAAGCCAATCAGTATAACGCAACGACAAATACATTGAAATATGGAGATCTAGTTGGCTTGGCAAATGGACATAAGCAATAGATATGTATGCATCATGCATACATGTTATTGTTATAGAGGTTGGCTTCTCTCCAACCATGCCTCGTATTTCATTTGATTTGCCCATTCACTGTACACTACACCTACTCCAGTATTTTATAGATATAGAAAAATTATTTATGTTTTCTAAGATATGTTAGTTCAATAGTAGAATAGCATAGCAATAGTCCAATAAAATGAAATATTTCACTGTCGACTTTTATACACTCCGACACCGCAGATATGCCTTGCCCCGCCAATCGCGGCGGGTTTTTAGTCATCCCCGCTTATCAAGCATCAATCCGCCACCGGACTTTGAATTTCTCTGTTTCTTGCGACTGACATAATATCTTCTTGTTTTCTATTTGCTCTCATTTCAATTGTCACACAGAGCAGCAATCTAAAATGGCGCCCTACGTGGAGGAGTCCAGGGAGGAATCTCTAGCAGTATCATCCAAGGTCACGCCCAGCCTTGTCGCACCGGAACCAGGTATGTATGCGCAGAATCATTGACACAATACACACACTAACTCTCCATAGAACACTGCCCCGGTCCTGAGTCTGAGCAGGCTGGCCAAGGTGATGCCTGTACCGGTTGCCCAAACCAGCAGATCTGCGCCACTGCGCCCAAAGGTCCCGACCCCGACATTCCAATCATCACCGAACGACTCTCCCAAATACGACACAAGATCTTAGTCCTCTCCGGAAAGGGAGGAGTCGGCAAATCTACGTTCTCAACCCTCCTCGCGCACGCCTTCGCCGCAAACCCCGACTCCACCGTCGGCATCATGGACACCGATATCTGCGGGCCGTCAATCCCCAAGATGATGGGCGTGGAGTCGGAGACTATTCACATCAGCAATGCCGGCTGGAGTCCCGTCTGGGTGACAGATAACCTGGGCGCGATGAGCGTGCAGTTTATGCTGCCTAACCGGGACGACGCGGTGATCTGGCGCGGGCCCAAGAAGAACGGACTGATCAAGCAATTCCTCAAGGATGTGGACTGGGGTCTACTGGATTACTTGATTGTTGATACGCCTCCTGGAACCTCGGATGAGCATCTATCTGTCAACTCTTTGCTGAAGGAGTCTGGCGTTGACGGTGCTGTTGTCGTGACTACCCCGCAGGAGGTCTCCCTACTGGATGTTCGCAAGGAAGTCGATTTCTGCCGCAAGGCTGGCATTAAGGTGTTGGGTTTGGTAGAGAATATGTCTGGGTTTGTCTGTCCTAACTGCACCCACGAGTCGCAAATATTCCGAGCGACAACTGGTGGGGGTCGCCGGCTGGCCAAGAAAATGGGCATTCCTTTCCTAGGTGCTGTGCCTCTGGATCCCCGTGTTGGCATGGCATGCGACTTCGGCGAGAGCTTTGTGGATAACTTCCCGGACAGTCCCGCTTCTAAGGCAATCAAGCGCGTTGTGCGCTTGGTGGGACAAGCGGTTGGAGAGAATCCGGATGATGTTCTCCCAGAGGACATGATTGATTAAGGCGCTCTTTCATTTTTTTTGGCTTTTTTACACAGCGCGGTGCATATGGATAAAATTTCTGCGGAATACCTCGGCGTTTGGGACATACATAACATAAACATGACTTGATACGATTGGCTAAAATAGCAAAGAAACACGTGCATATTCATCACAAATTCAGATCCACCTCACAAGTAATCAGTTTTCTTACCCCTTAGTAGGCTGCATATACCAAAGCCAATTGATCGACTTCGTCCTCGGCTTGTCCCATGAAACCCACGACCGCAAAGCCATCAGGGGCAGTGAAGGTCTGACAGTCAGTAGTTGAGGTACCCGCCTCCAAGGATCTACCAGTGCTGGTAGTAGCCTTGATATAAAAGTTGCGGGTGTTGTTATTATACTTCCCAGTGCAGAGCTCCGTCTCGGTCCAGTACTCTTCGGAGTTCAGGGTAAGAGAGACCTTGTTGCCACCAGTTCCTCCATGGCTAAACGAAGTGCCATCATTCAGCTTCAAAGCAACAGCATCCAGTCTGTTCGCACCACTAAAAGTGATCTCAGAAACAACAGGCGACTCAGGAACGCTCGGCAGATCATTGAACCACAGTCCATGGGGGCCACCGGAGAACTGACTTTGTCGCAGCGTAGGCGAAAGCGACCAGGTGAAGTTCACAAGGACCGGGTTGTGATCCGATAGAATTTGGCCGAAATAATCGGAACCAGTGTTGGTGAACAATCCACCGTTATACAGGAAGCTCTCTGCATTGAGGTCCACAAGGTCAGACCCACGGTACAGCACTTTGTCAACTGTCTCGCAGGTCTGCACAGTAGACGGGTTTTCGCATAGCAAAGCCTCTGCTCCAGCAGTGGGATAGACACCACCCTTCGCAAGGTCGACCCAGGCATCTGAGAGGCCATTCTGAGACTTGAGGACACGGAGGGCCGTGTCATCGGCACGGGTGTACCGACTGTTTGTATCACCCATGATCACGACAGCATTACCAACGGACCAGGTGTCGATGTAATCAGCGACTTGCTGCAAGTTGGAGTTTCGGGCAACTTCATCTTCTGGCTCGGTGCTTGGTGGGAGTCAGTCCTTGGATCAACTATAATGGGGTAATGTTTTACTCACCCAGCGTCGGTGTGAACGTTGTAGAAGTCGATATAGACTCCCTCAGCCGGGTTCCAACGCATGAATGTGGCACCCTTAGGGGTCAAACAGTCGGCGCCGGATGCATTAGAGCATTTGTTCCATTTCACGCGTGTGAAATCGACCCAGTTGTGGTTGGAGATAGTGTTCAGACCACTTCCGATGGCTGCGCCGCCAGATGTAGCGGTCCGGTAGGGGTGATTGTCTGCATCATAGATGTAGGCGTGATAGTTGAAATCCTAGAGCGGGGTTAGATCAATTGATATGTTAGGGAGACGGGATGGAGCGGTACCTCCTGCATATTGATGATATCGTAACCATACTTAGCAAAGTAGGTGCCGATCTGCTTGGAATTATCGGTCTTTGAGCCATTAACATCATTGCCGTTGAAGATTGCTGGCAAACCAGCGACGTTGAAGCTCATCGCGGTGAATTCGCCGCTTGATGCAGCTGCGCTGGCTAGTGCCGGCAGGAGAACGCTGGGGAGGATGGTCTTCATCTTGAAGGATCTAGTTGAACAGTTATTTTGATGGTAACTTGTATAGTTATAGATGTTTGTTGGTCCTGATCATACCTGATAGGAGTCTGTGTAAATCCACCAATTTTTAAAGAGGACGAGGCTACCACGGCTGTTCAGGGATGTAGATCCTAAAACAATGGAATGGGATGAAGATGATAGTTTCTAGAGTAATTGAAGAAATATATATACCTAGTCTGCATCAATTCAACTGAATAATTTATTCACGAGCTTTGATGAGCGACGTGCAGTTCTGCGCCAAGGAAAACCGGTAGAAGATACACTAATGCCACATGTGTAGTTGATTGGCAATGATTGGCAGTGTGGTTCCCCCATTTCTCTCCTATATTTTGGCAGGGGAAGCTTCGGAGAAATCGGCGTGCAGAAGTACCTACTATCAAATCAAGCTTAGCGGTAGAGCCCACGTTTTTGTGGTAGCAGTCTTAGCTTATTTTCACGTTAATATACTTGGAGCATAATATGTTAAACAATAACCATGAACATGTTTGATTCGAAGAAATATCCCGCAATTAGACTTCAGGGTGTCTTAGTGTTTAAATCAAGGCCCAACGATAGCTCAAAAGGTGATATCCATCTAAGGTCAAATATGTTGTATAATATCGTAGGCAACAATAGCAGATAGCAGAACGATAATACCCTGGGTCCGGAGCTGGTTAGAATAAAGTATCTATCGGACTATTATTCAATGATCTCTCCCATGTTGTATATCGTTTAGCCTAAAATGTGCCAATCTCGAATTTCTAAAACAGTTAGCTTTCACCATTCGAGCCGGTAGACTTCATGACATCGGTATTCTCGACTACTTCGTCTACGCTGTCATGTTAGTTGGCAACGTTCTCTTTGTGCACAATTATCTATGTAATTGCTGTTCTTGTCGCACTTGTTGTTCTCTCTGCTCTCATTGTGCTTAGTGTCTTCGACTTCAACTTCTTTGTCCATTTCTTAGTGTCCACTTGGGACCGTGATCTCAGCTCCCTTACTATCATTCTCTCCCTTGTTCGAGTGCTGATATTTTTGTAACTCTTTGTGCATAATGGTTCTGTTTTTGTCCTCTTTGTATGTAGTTGAAAGCGATACTCATGGTCAAGTATGCGCCACCTCCTCAGCTCACATCTATATAATTCTCGGCCTCTCCGAGTATCGTACAGACAAGTACAAGTTCATCATTGAATATTTCGTTCAATATTCCATTCAATACTCAATACTTTAGTTTTTTATTATACATTTCGATCCAATCAAATATATTTACAAATATGCCTGGTTGTTGTCCCTGGAACTGTTTCAATATCTGTCGTCGCCGCAACAGATCGCCCGGTTTTGGCCCTCAGTCTCCCAGTGACGAGGAAGCTGCTATAGAGCTACAAACTATACCTCCCCCTCCTCCCCCTCTCGGCAATGACGCATCCACCGAGGATGGCAACATTGACCTTAATGTTTATCAGTACGGTCAACGCCAAATGTGGGGAGAGTTGCGACAAAGATGGATCGATGATCCAAATGAGCCTAACTGCACAGTCCAACCACCAGATTTCGAATATAGATCCTTGGCCCATACTAAACGCCGGTCCGAAAGATGGATAGTAAAATTCGACCGCTGGATTCCACGACCCCCGGCCCTTTCTGCTGATCTCGAGAATTGCGGCCTCCCTGTAGGCAGTGAAGATTACCATGAAGCCAAACTCACAAAGCAGTCGAGCCGTCCGAGCCCTAGAAGAGGAACAACCGGAATTAACATCCATCATATTGCAGCTGCGAGGGGAGTTATTATCCTTAGAAATGTTGACCGGTACGATGGACCTTGGTGGAGTCAAGTCGCCCTTGCACAGTACGATGTTCACTTTGGCCGGAATGACTTGAGACATATATACCTCGAGAATGTTATTAACGTGGATACCAGGGACTTTATACAGACACTTTGGGCTGAAACTCAACCAGCCAATTCCCCAAGGTTTCAACTAAATCCAGAAGCAGGAAACCAGGTGTCTTGGGAGTTTGATACCCCCGGATATAAGGCTATTCTAGGCACAGAGCTTGGGAAGGGAGTGGCTGCTATTGTTGTGTCGGCATTCAACAGAGGTTCACGTCGTATCGCCAGAGTCGTTGTCTGGAGGGCGACTATCATGCAGATACGGTTTGATATTGAACCCAGAGGCCATTGAGACAAGTGCAGCGCAGACAGGTGTGTACTTGTAGGACTTGTGTATTCATTTAACAAAAAACCACTCCCGCTGTTCAATCGCCCTCATTCTGAATACTTATGATTTAGTTGTTTATGCATTTTGTTTTCAGTTGAGCTGTATTCATTTCATAAAGTGTTTCGAAATACCAAAATATAGATTTCTTTTCATTTTCTCACTAACTATTCAGTAAATCTAGATAACAAATATTTTGAAGATTAAATTCAACATAGAAGTATAGAATCCGGTCAACGGCAAGGCAGGAACTGGGAAGCCACTAGTAAAGTGAGCATCTTTCTGTTTTGCTAGCTTCTGTGAAATCTTGTCACTTCATTTTTAACTTATTAATAACGAACTGAAGAACCAACTTTAAAGATTAAGCTCTATAGTACATAAGCATAAGAGTTTTCCCCAATATTACCGTCTGCTGCATCTTCCATTCCTTCCAACTCCGGCAAACCTTAGAATTTCAATCTATGCCTCGATCAAATAACCCTATTTTCCTACATATCACAAGCATTTCTTTTCGCCTTTTATTGCAGTTTGAAATTATATGTATTGAAAAGATTGGATATTTCGGGAAAAGAAGTGGCCAAGACCCGTGGACAAGGTCTCCACACTCATGACTTTTATGCGGGGATGTACTCCGTATATGTCAATATACAGGATGTCTCCAACAAATATCTCATCTACATTTAATTTAAAGCTTCAAATGCCTCGGACAGAATAGTCCTGGTATTCCTTCTAAACTGTAGAGTAATTGCAGCATTTTCAAGGTCAATGTATATAACCCTCTAGTAGGTCTGACCCACCCAGATCGAATGATGTCATATAGCATCAAGACTGGGCAGAACCAGATGGAAAAGAAGACCTGCTCTCTTAAATTCTCCATACGCCCGGAAGAGAGTTCCAATTTGATTTTCAAACACCTTTCCCCATCTCCAACATCTGCAAAGTTGCAAATCTATCCAAAGTTACATCTCTACCATTCTATCTAAACTCACCTCACCTACATCATCACCATGTCATTCATCACCTCTATCCGTGCCTCCTCTCGCCAAGCTATCCGATCCAACTTCGCCGTGCCAGCTTCCACATTCCACTACTCCGCAGTCCGGAGCTTGAAAGAGGATGATAGAAGTCAGTATACCACCAGCTACTCCCAGCCATATATACTAACTAAAAGCAGACCGCGAGGACCTCTCCAACTACTACGAATCCAAGAAGCAAGAAGTCCTTAAGGAGAGCAAATTGGGCAAGGGGAAGTGGACGGCTGAGCTGGCTAGTAACAGCGAAGCCGATGTAAGCATTGTCCCCCCCACTTGAAGTCCATATTCCATCAGAGCTAATATGTTTGATTGATTTAGGTGAAGGCGGATCGCGGCGAGTTAGATGGTGAAGTCTCTTTCCAGGAGTTGCAGAAGAAAACGAAACATGTTGAGGTCAAGGGCAACTAAGCAATACGTGAAAACTATCGGCTCTTTTTGTAACTTTCGATCACGATCTTCTTTTATTCCTGTGTATTTTACTGGGCCAGTCTGAGGATGAGACTGTTAGGGAGTCTGTTGTGGGGATTTAATTCGAGTTTATCGCATTCGTCAATGGCAATTGATACTACACACTTTTTCTGAGCAGATAATTGGATATGGGAAGGTGGTGATCAAGTGTAGGCTTGTAGATGTCCACAGCTGGTATAATCAAGAATCCAATCCGGAGTCTAGGAGCGACTCAATTGCCTCAACGCCTCGAGCCACTGTGAGAAGGAAAGAAAAACATCAGGAGAATCAATCGTCCTGTATTGCGTAAAGGTGTAAACGCCCGCTCGCCACAGAAAAGTAAAAATTAATAGCAATAAAAGAACAGCCTCCAATCATCCACCCGTATCGGGGTATCATTTCAGGATCACGATCAAGATGACCAGAATAATGATCAATCCGATGATAGTCATCATGCTCCAGTTCTCACCCGCCTTTCGACGGATCTTATCTACCCGCCGTCTTGCACTGTTCAATCGGGTCTGATGACGCTCGACATCCCCATCCATTCCATCGAGAAGTTGAACATGGCCATCCAGCTCATCCCCAATCTGAATACTCAGCTGGTGCTGTCTGCCTATTGATTCACCCAGTCGATCTAGCTGGTCATCCTGATCGCGCATGGTTTGAGCATGGTGATCGTAAATCTGCTGGTTATCCATGTCTGACTGGTCCAGTCGCGGCGATGGCTCATCACGATATGGGCGGAAGAGGTTGTTGCGGTTGCGCTCATCTTCTTCGTCAATCTCATCTTGCACGGCTGCCGCTGCGGCGGAGCTGTCCATGAAGCGGACGGATTTGGAAGGTGGATGTTGTGGGATTGGCTGCTTGAGATCGGGGGTGGCGGATTTCGACGCCTGCGTCGTGTTGTTGTCCAATGGCTCGCCATCCGTGCCGTAGAACTGGACCGACAGATCTTTGTATTGAGCTTGGAGGGGTTCAAGTTGGTCTTTCAGGGCGGCCGCGCCTGCGCTGTCGTGAGAGTTGGCTAGCCGGATTTGTTCAGCTTCCAGGGCTCCTATGCTCTCTCGAAGAGACTCGAGAGATCCAGAGATCTCCCCATCTTGGGAATTGGGCTCGAGATTGAGTGAGATTGCCCTTTCGCGCTCCAGAAGGGATAATTTGATGTGATCGGCGAGTAGGAATAGCTGGGAAGGGTTCGTCATGATGAGGTGTGTGAGGTCAAAATGTCGGGCTGTTGAGGTATATAAATCTTAGGCGTTTGGACGGTCAATACGGAGAAAGACCTCCGATCAGCCAAGCAAGATAAAGTTAGGAGAGTTGGAATGTTTACGAGGTTGAAGGTAGAGATGGTCAGACGAGGATTCGCAAGCGGAGGCAGCAGTGCGGATCAACCGCTTTCCGCTTTTTGCCTCCCCTTGATCTCCCCCCCGCAATCATCCCGCCTTCTCTTCAGCTCGGAGATCTTAAGATGTTTATGTCTTACAAGCGTTTCCTTCCGATCGCTCAGATTGTTTTCTGAATGTCATCCTTATGGATCTGGACTATTCACTCTATCTCGGTATCTAGCGCAACTGCATGAACCCGCGCACTGATTCCGCATTCCAAGGAAGCAACAAACATAGGGAATAAAACCCTGTTCGTACCTTGCATATATTTTTGGACCTCGCGATAGGCTTGAAGTCCGCGCAACATGAATTTACAAGACTTCCTAGCCATGGAGGAAAGCCGCGACCGCGACGAGCTAATTGACCTCCGCAGCCTTGATCTCGTCTCCGAATACGACTCGCATCTGATGTGCCCGATCTGCCACTGTCCTTTCGTTGAACCTGTTCGTCTACAATGCGACCATGTGTTCTGCGGAAGTTGCCTCAGTTCGGCTATCACCGCATTCCGCTCGGCCGACTCAGACGAGTTTCCGTGTCCTTCTTGCCGAAATCCCACCCAGATGGTGTCAGCTAGCGTGCCCCGCCTGCTTATCAACATGTGCGACGAGATCCGAGTGCGATGCCCATTGATAACGGAGGGCTGTCAAGAGATAATACCCCGAGGCCATGTCCAGTCGCATGTGGAGAAGTACTGTGGGTACCGGCTATTGCCGTGTCCGGATGATTTATGCGATCATATGACACGAAGTAAGGATGTTGGGATGGACCAGAAGTGTATTCATAGAGTGCGGCGGTGCTCTCATTGCGAGGAAGATGTCCTAGAGCATGAATACGAGGTTAGTTACCTTTTTGAATTTCCTGGAAACCATATATGCGCTGACCGGAAACACCTATGCTAGGAGCATGAGAAAGAGCTTTGTCCAGTTCTTGAGGTCACATGTGTCGACTGCGAGACAGTGGTCACTAGAGCGGCCTTGCGGGAGCATATTGAATCATGTCCAGAGGTTGCAATTCCCTGCACAGCATCCAAATACGCATGTCCAGTTAAGATCCGACGAGCAGATATTGCAGCACATGAGCAAAACTGCCCTATAGTCGCAATGGGCCCATACTTTGAAACGCAAAATACCCGCCTCAAGTCCCTCGAATCAAGTATGCGACATCTACAGCAGCGGAATGAGATATTCGAAGACGGGCTTGCAAACATCCGGTCTACTCTTATCGAATCCACACGTTTGGGTTCGGGCAGTAATAGCAGCGGACAATCTACCCAGTCTGACCGAGAACAACAATCCTCCGCTCGCGTGGACGTTCACACAGATGATCCTGCAGATATCGCTGCGAGTGTATTTTCATCCAATGCTACGACCTATCTACTCTCGCTGCACGAATCTCTCCGAGAAGAGGTCAGCCAACTTTCGCATGCTATCACAGATCTAGATGCTCGCGCCAGCATGGCTATCATGAATGAATCCATGCGCATCAAGGAGGACATGGCCCATACGAATGCGGCAGTCAACAGCGTTCGCATGCAGGTCCAATGGCTTATGGACCCTCGTCTTCACCAGGGGACGCGGGGAGGGGCTGTTCGCACCAACTCTGCGGAGAATGAAGGAACGCGGACGCAATTGGCATCTTCGGTGGCTGGGCCGAGCCATACTGTTGGTCAGTCCCTAGGGCCCATTCGGCCTAGGCGTCCCAGTGACAGTGGACGGGAGGGAACAAAGCTGTGAAAATTTGCTTGGGTGCATGGGGGCGCTGCATTTCCCCATCTGATGCAAAAAGGGTTCGGGCTTTTGTGTATATCTTAGAGCGGTATGACTGATGATTGCGATGTCCTGGTGTAGGGCCGTATTGTACATAGTTGTTGACTGAGATAGACGGCTCTAGTTAGTTGCATTAATAAACTTTGTTTTTTCCAATAAGTGATATTAAGAAAACTTACTCTTCGGATCTAAATATATATTGCTCAGATGTCAACAGAAAACAACTCGAAAAAAGAAATGTTCCAAGACGACTCTATAGCACGGATGAACATGGGAGAAATCTTCCAATATGATATCTACACCTTATTGGTCACCAGACACGGCGAAGCTTTGAAAAAGAAAGAGGCATATGATATATCTTCTATGTCTTGCATACACAAATTGCAAAATGAAAAGAGCAAAAAAAGAAATCTCAGGTTTGGTTTTTAGGAATAGCCGAACGCGGGGGTCGAACCCGCAGCCTTAAGATTAAGAGTCTTACGCTCTACCGATTGAGCTAGCCCGGCCGGGCTGTTGTAAGGAGTAGCAAACTAACAATTCATAAAGCAAATTACCAAATGATTCCCTCCCCCTAACAACATTGGGGTATCAAGGTAAGTTGTGATTCAAAGCAAGTCTGGTTCATGAAAAGATGAATTCGAAATATTTCCTGGCTTCTCAGTCTCTGGTATTTTGGGTACTGCCCGGTCGCTTAGTGGCTATGTCACTTAGGGCCGCGCAGTTACAGTAGATTAAAAAGAGGAGAACGATGAAGGGAAAGACGAAGGAAAAAGAAAGCTGAAAAAAAAAAGAAATAAACAAAGAAAGGTCAATACATGCAGAAATATGCAAGGGAGAAGAGGGGAGAGCAGACGTATACTTCAACGACAGGGATTGGTGGAAAAATGTCGGTAAAAAAGGAAACATCTGAGTGTGTTGTATACACAAAGAAAGTCAGTTGTACTTGAGTTAGAATCTACAAACATTCATAGTGCATGCATACGTATTTTGCTACAGATTCCAATAGTTCAGGTCAATTAAATTGGCCAACCCAATACCTAGCGGAAGTCAATATGTCGGCGCCTAGGAGTGAGGTCTACATACTCCTACACAAGACATCATCCCTACGCCAACTCAACGTTCCAGACCGAGTCACAGAAATGTACCAGCATTATTTTTATATACAAAAGTACTACCTTCAAGAGAAAAGTGGCTGAATGTATCGAGCAATCCTATCGTGTATCTGCAACCCTGGGCCGGGAATGCTGCGCCAGCGAGATCAACCTCTCAACAAAAGCCTGTGTCAAATAAAGCGGCGGGAAAATCCGACCGTCATCCGTCGGTCTGTTGAGGTGAGCCAACAGCCCAGCGATATCCTCCAAGGTCTTGAGATCCCTTGTGAAAGTAGGCGAAGTTGGAACCGTGATAAGATACCAGAAGACCGAGAAAACGGCCGTGAGGAGAAACTGCGCATGAAGCCTGGAATACGAAAGAAAGTCAGATTAGCGTGTATAAGCAGGAAAAAGGCACAGTGTCCCTTACCAGAATGTATGCTCGTTGACGAATTGGCGAACTCGCCAGATGTAGATCAACGAAGACCTTGCAGCTTCAAAGCACAGCTCTGCGCTAGATGGGAGAGGTGACCAGCTCTGCGGGGAAGTTATCCTGGAAGAGCTACTCGCCCCATGGATCTTTCCAAGGCAATAGTAATATTCCAAATGAATATTCACACCGCGGATACTGAGGTCGTGGAACAGATAGTCCGGTGCGCTCTCGGTAGCGAACACATCTGGCCGGCAATCGACGGGATACCCCAGATTCAGGTCGCTCAGTTCTTGATCCAATTCACGGATATGCTGAAGGCGTCTGGCTTCCGGTAGTGTCTCACTGTGCGCCGAATAAAGTAACCGGAAGATCTTGGATTTGAGCACAGAAAAGCGGAGGTCTGAGGGGAAAAGAAGCTCCTTGGATGACAAGGGCTTCATGTAGAAGTGGCGGGCTGATGTTTCCTGGGAGTATGTTGTAGGCAGATCCAGGTCGCAATCGGCATCATTTATCAAGGGTGGCTGGGATTTTCGGATAGAGAATTCTTTGTCGACGGCATAGCAATGCCAGAACAAAGCTCGGAGATGTTGGCTACGCTGGTCTGTTCTGTGTATCTCATTGGGGGTTTGTATTCTGTTGGCCCCGAGGTTATAGATGAGCTGCACTGCGATGCCAAGAAGTAGTTCTGCTGATTGCGGTCTGCCAAGAGGGGCGATATAGAGCATCTATGGCCACATATGTATAAGCTTCTGAGACATCTGAGACATGGGATCCACCTTGAGAGTGTCGGGTACTCCGTACACGAAGCACTTACTAATATTGTAACCGCTTCCAAGGTTCTCAAATCAGGGGGCTCCAGTAACATTTCAGGAAGGAGTGTTAGCGCTGCTTGTAAATAAGCATCCGGTTCAGCACCAGCGAAAGTTCGCTCATGGCGGTGGATATGGGTGATCATTGCCGCAAAAGCAACTAGACAAGCCCGATTCGCGGCTCGAGTCATGTTCGGAGGCCGGTCTAAGACATTTGCATTGAGTAGAATCTGCGCAGCCTCAACATCGATAATTGGAAATATAGAATAGAGCCCATTTCTATCAAAATAATCCAAACACTGTTGGACTAGAACCGACTCTGGCCATTTGATCCCAATCACTTTCTTTGTCGATTTGAGCTGTTGTGAATTGAAAGATTGGGTAACCTCATGAGCAAAATCATCCACATTGAATATGGAACCTGTCTGCTGCTGAATGACAGAGTAAAAAGCTGCCCTTTGAGTCGAAAGAGCACTCCCGAGTCCACAATATGAGATGTGCCATTGGAAAGCTGCCAACGCGGTATCGAAATCACGGGTATCGGGCAAATACGATAAAGATTCCTGGGCGAGGGGTCTGGGTGACACTGGAGAAGAGCCTCTGCTCGGAGAAGGAATAGCTAGCCGTTTGTGGCCATGTCTTGTGGATTCTTTAAGTCCGAGCAGGGTCGTCTCTAATTCCCGAACCCGAGCTTTGGCGTCGGCAAGCTCTCTGTGTACCCGTAAGCGATTGGTAAAAGAGGGGCCCAATGATATAATAGAGTCTTACTGTCGGGTGCTTTTCCGATGTTGGGATATAGGTTGGGAGAAAGTACATGGTAATCCTGCAATATGACAATTCTCGCAGGCTGGTTGGTTTCTATCACAGCGGATCTGTGGAATCGGATTAGGGGCTGTCACACAGGCAGTGTGGATATTTATTACCTTTCGGCGTCGACATAGGTCGCATGCGCTACGCCCTTTTCCGCCCCGTGGGCCAGTAGCATCATCCATAAAGTATTATCGCAATCCTCCTTACGTGTCAAGAAGCCTTTTCGGTCATCATAGGGGCGGCAATTGTGACTGGAGCTCGGAGTAAGAGCTTCTTGATCACCGCTGAATCATCAAGCTTTTTCATCGGAGCCTATGCACAAAAAAATCCACTTTGCTATCAACCACTGAGATCGACGGAATTGAAGGCCAGACCTTTTTAGGAGTGCGGCACTAACCTAGGGGAACGGCAAATGAGTAAGATGAGTAAGCAGTTTGGTACTCCAGCCAGCTCCGATGGACTTGACCTTCAACGACATTAAATGTGGAGTGTTAGTGTTTGGCTCTCTTGAGATACGGCTTTTCATATGTAAGTTTTGCATTCGAGTTCTAAAGGATAGCCCGAAGTTCTCTAGTCTGTTGCTGGATTTTATATGAGCTACATTGTGTCTTAAATAGGAAATGGGGAAAAAATCGAAGGTATCCATATTGTATACATAGATAGTATTTAAAAACAACAAAGCAAGAGAAAAATACTAAATATACTAAATTAGACCGAAAAAATGGAAGCCAAATACGATATGTACTCTGTACACATTCCGCCCAGCTTCATTGCCAGTAGTATCCCCTTCTCTCCTTGCATACCCACAAACCCCAAATCAAGTAGACGAAACCAAGTCGAGACTGAAAATACCATCCCACTTGCACTGTTCTTTAGGATATTCCTGCTTCTCGCATTTCCACAAGTCGCCATTCACCGTTGACCGCCCAGTCTCAGAGCCGTCTGCGCGGGACACTCCCAAATCGATGTTTTCAATATCATAGATTCCATTTGGGAGGTGGAGCTGGTATGCCTTGTCGGAGCAATTGTAGGTCTTGTTTCCAGCCATACCAATTGACCTGTATGAAAGTTAGCCTTATTTATGCCTCTTGGCTTTGGATCTATAGGGCTAAACAAAGAGAAGAAAGCTGGAAGATAGATTGAGACATACCAGTAAGCAGAACAAGTGGTATCTATGTTTGTGTTTGGGTCTTTGACAGCAAAAGAGATCAAGCAGGTTGTTGGGAGGCTTGTGCTATAGATGCCTGCGTTGAGATTTGTAAGTTGTAGTGGCTCTAGGACGGGCACCATAGGGCTGGGCGCAGCGAGCGTATAGCTGGCAGTCGCTAGGACGAGAGCGGGCAGTGAAAAGGTCTTCATTTTGCTAGACTAATATTTGTTGTTTTGTTGCTTTGGAATTGATATTAGATTCCTTGCTGCCGTTAGAGAGTATACTCTTGGTGTTGACGACCCTCTTATACTTCAAGTCCCCAGTACATGTAGCTACCTGTTAAAAATATACTTGCTGAAGAGCTCAGCTGAGAATACGAACACGAGAAACAGACACGTAAGATCCAAACAATTACTGAATGTTGACGTATAGTTACATTGAACTTATTGTAACCCAACCCTATTTGGATCCCCAGATCATCGAATGATAAATTATTGCCATTCGAACAAAGCCCACTATCTCTCGATCTGTGCTTATTCTAAGTTCATTTGTTGCTAAACCAAGACTTGATTTATGGTTTCGCTATTTTTGGCATTAGGCGACCAGTCTACACAGCCCTGTACTTATTTTTGGATATCAGAACAAAAGATCTACTCCAGATAAAGCCTCAGGTGTCGTTCATTAAATATTTGCTTTTGGGAGAAGCAATTTAGTAAACTGCAGCTTGGGCTCAAAATTTACTTCTAGATTGCGCTTTGTGCTATGCCCTAACAACCCGTGTGCTTTTCATATACCTATGTACCTAGTAACCTGTAAAACAGAGGTATTGTTTATTGTTTACCTCAAATATTTAATATTGCTCCTCCAATCGGGACTACATCTATTCTACACATTTATAATTGACAAAAACCAAGTGCATCCATTCATATAAAGGGGATATATAGCAAAGAAATACGTTCTAAGTAGGGTTTAAGGCTATCAATCTCGTCTAACAAGCTGGAGGTAGAACAGTTAGTACCTGATGGGGTTCGTTTAAAAACCCGTCCAGTAGGGCGCCTGCTATACGCTTCATCATGGGGCCCAATCAGGAGGAGCAAGAGAGGGACCGCGGTAAGGAGGAGGTGGGGTGGTAAGGCGCTCAGGGTCCTCTAGAAGCTCCTGCAAACCTGACTCAGAAGAGGGCCTATCCGAAGGAGGGAGGTTCGGTACTGGGGCGGCATGCGGGTCTGGCAACCCTAGGGCGGCGTACGGGGGCGAGCCGGTCACACTCGATCTATGGAGAGCTACAGTGAAGGTATCAGTCGAGGAAAAACCCCCGTGGTACACATAGTGCAAAAGCTTCAGAAGATTTCCTCTGGAACGATCACCGATAGATGTGGCTGTGATGGGATAGTCGTGGACTCTAGACCCATCGTGGTGGATGAATTGAGCTAGCACGATAGGCGGCGATCGGATATCTAGCAGGAATCGGTTAATACCCTGGGCCCTCTGTACCATCGCCTGGATATGAGCCCAATGGAGGCGGTGGTACGCGTTAAAGCTGCGTGTCCAATCTGGATCGAGGCCGGTTGCTGCGAGGCCGGCACATAGAGTCCAGAGAAGGTGGTCCTCGCTGATCCACTCGTTAACTACAATCACTGGCTGAGAAGTGGCACTGTTGGGTACTCGATTCACATTACACCGTACACATGCCTGGGGAGTGATCTGTAGATCTGCGACTGGTCCGCCGTAGCGTACTGCAACATTTCCCCACCTAGAAGTGTCGTCAGATGGCATGATGATATACAAAGTATGGGCTGCGAGATGTACACAAGTGGATTGCAATTGTATATTGGGTTGAATGTAGGTATTTGACTTTGGAGCTGTGTAGAATAGAACAATGTCGGCGAATTCCTGTTCTTGACGCGAAGATAGAAGGGTTTATATAGCCCCAGACACTCTGGGGCAGGGCTGACAGTAATAGACCCGAGAAAGAATGCCCCTATTGGGTATGAAAGAAATCAAGGGCATTGAAATTATTCTTTGTATTAAGTTATACAAATAAACTAAAAGCTATTTTCATTTCTAAAGAGCCAACTCTGTCCTTTGTCAAGATGAGGCCCAGAATGCTCGACAAAGCCTCGCGGAAAATGTAAAATAAGTTTCTAGATGAATATCCAATCAAAAAGAAAGAGGTAGACACATCTAACAAGGGATATAGCTATAGTGAACTAATACTGATCAGACCGCCAATATAAACATGCCAGAGAGCCAAAAAAAAGGGAATACTCAAACACCGAACTCATAAGCGAGTCTGCCTCCCGAAGTCCTATCATCAAGCTTGCATTGTTGACTACCATGAAGAGATTCTAGATTTCTTTCAATAGTGCTGCTGAGCACGCTGTGTGTTTCCTTGTCGATACTTCTTTGTTTTCCATATCTCACTACTTGAGGTTTCGTCAAAGGTTTCGAGATTTTTGTTGGAGGCATGGATTTCTGAGGTCTGACGCTTAAGAGCTCTTTCCAATATATCTTTCTCTCCTTCAATACTGGATTATATATGCAGTGACCTCTTTATACATGCTTACTTCAACAGGAACCAACAAGTCCCCTTTGCTTGCCTTCCGTATAATCAATTTCATCTATTTTTTAATTGTGCAGATAACCCATAGTTGAGCTTATAGTATCTAAATATCGATGTTAATGGAAAAATGGCTACCTGAAACCTGTATATACTATTGAAACGATCAAAGCCATTATGAAATAGATGTCAGACCATGATGAAACAGCATCTTAGGGCAAGAAACCAAACAGAGCTGTTGATTGGGAAGAACCTAACCAAGACACCTTGCGGGTAGCTGGCTACTTTGAGACTAAGAGATAACCCCGGGAATCTCAACAGCTCATATATTCAAAGAAAGCTCAAGTTGACTCAACGTTACAAGTATCACACAAAATTTTATAAAAGGATGTACAACCTCCAAGTTCCCTGAGTCCTGCACCTGTCGTCTTTCCAAACTCCACTACCTTGTAAACCGACGTTTACAACCATCTGATTTCATTAAAATACAATCATCTCACACCCATCTCATCTGTACTTGATCTCCACATATTCAATACAGTCATTTAACTTCGTTTTATCTTCCAATCCTCAGTAACCCGGGCGACCATATCCATGCCCGTGGCTATGTCCGTGTCCCTGGCTCTGTCCATGGGAACCCGGATACGGACCATGTGGCGGGGCATTGTGGCCACCGTGCGGCTGCGGGTGACCAAACTGGTCATCCTGCTGTCTATAGGACGAAGGATTCTGCGAGCCGCCATAATGCTGCTCATGCTGTTGATTACCCTGGTAGCCGTGAATTTGTTGAGGTACGTGCTGAGGCTGGTGATAGCCTCCATGCTGCTGTGGGTGGGGTTGCGGGGCCTCATGCCTACCCCCTACCTGGTGGTCCTGATATGAGCTGGGCTGGTTCTGCTGGGCTCCTTGGCCATTTTCATTGCGTGACAAGCCGCCAGGGAGGAAGTTGGAGAATTTTCCTTCGAGTTTGCTCAGGTTAGACAGGCCGGGGATACCGGAGAGTTTGTCCCAGGGCATGCCAGAAGAGCTGTTTGTTGATTGTTGTTGGTGATTTTGGTGCTGATTTTGTTGGGGGATGGATGAGGAGAATCCGCCGGATGAATGTCCGCCATTGTTACTGTGTCCGTAGCTTTGGCTTTGGTGTTGACTCTGGGGTTTACCGTGCGAGGCACCGCCCAATGCCGCGAATCCGCCATGAGGACCATTGTGAGTGTGGCTTACTCCACCGGTGTTACGACCGGATCTCACGCCCTCTGAGCTGAGGATGGAGTCAAGGGAAGCACCGCGGTCTGGGCGGGCATGGACCCATTTCTCGACGGCCTCGAACATTGTACGATGGGCATCATTGCGCATGTTGCGCACCGCTGGGTGGTGGAAGACCTGCAGGCAGTCATTGAGGACCTCGTCCTCGGAGACATCGATGTGCTGCCAAGCATATAGAATACGAGGCGCGATGTACTCCACGATTGCAGAGGCAACCCGTCCGGCAGGCTCATTCAGAATGTTGGCAAAGTGATCCTTAGAGAGCAAGGAGTGGGTGGGGTCTGTGCAGTGAGGATCGGTCCACGGTTCATACTGGTGCTTGCCAGAGGCATCAATAACACCTGCTGATCCACTTTGAATGGATTTGGAAGCAGCCTTAATTAGAGGTCGAATGAAAGGTGCTAGGAGCGACATGATGACAACGGTCAGAGTCTCGGAGATCTTCTCGACGAGTGACTCTAGGCCTGGGATCTTCTCAATGATCGAGTTCAAGCTCCGCATCACCTTGTCTCGGAAGGCCAGGATGGGATAGATCTTTGAGACTGTCTCCTGAGGGTTGAAATCAGGCATACCTTCGAGCCCAGAATTAGGCTTCAAACCCCCGCCAGAAGATTGAGTGGGCCCCGCACGAGACCGTTCGTGGCTATTGGAAGCGGACTGCGCATAGCCGGTTCCAGCACTACGGCTCCGGTTAGCCATTTCTTGTGCCGCCGACGACCTTTTGAGACCTTCGGCCTCGCTGACGAGCTCCCTAGTACCGGGGATCTTGCCCAAGAGCCCAGTCAAAACATTAAGGGAGCTATTTGACTGCGCACTCGTTTCCGCATCACCAAGCGCAATATCCATCTCGTTGATCTCGGATTGAGCAAAATGATCATTTGCTTCTCCCATCACAGAATGAAAGAAATCGACCATACCAAATGTTCCCGTCACAAGCGGGAAAACGCGATGTCCTTGAAGGTTGATCTGGGTGCCAGTACCCGTATGCGGGAACACATTCTTGAGACCCATCTCGCGCAACGCCAGTTCAACATAGTTGGTGTGTGCGGCGAAATCCTCCAGCGTGTGTAGTCCCTGGCCCAGGCACCGGAGTGCTTCACACAGGTCCTCCTCTCTGCCCTTATTGTGTCCGCCATTGGTGTAAGTCCGTCCATAGTGGATACTGCGACTAAGACTGAATTTGATAAAGGCAGAGCTGGTAGCCCAATCTCCTTTCTCGTTGGCGATGTAGTTCTTCATACCGGTGCTCGGGTCAATCTCGAGCTCGATAGCACGAACGGGTGGGCGCAAACGCTTGTCATATTGGCGTGCATCTTCATTGTCGGCATAGTCCTTGGGGTTACTGCGAGAAAGAAGATAATCAGCACATATATTTTCAAGCGATCAAGAAGCTCGAGCTTGGCTTACTCAATATGTTCTTCAGGACGGTAAACACCCAATCGATCCGAAGTGACCTCAAATTCACCTGTGGCATAGCCGAAGCTCAGGAACGAGAGGACCCACACCAAAACACGGATGGTATCGGCCTGCAGATTTTTAAGAGTCCCAACATCCATTGCCTGTGAGCTACAGAAGCTGTTAGAACATATCGATCTTTCGGTTCTTTCATTGAACTCACTAATCGCGCAACCAGTTACCAAAATACACGCGCTTCATCATGGTGGAGGTCCATTTGTGGCCGGATATGAAAGCCAGCGTCTTGAGGACATCTTCGATATCACCATGGCGCCAGTTCTTGCCTTCGACGGCGGAGATAGAAGCAATATTTCCAGCTCCAAAGGCGTGTACCTGCGGGAGGATTAGGAGCAGTACTAGCAGGGCGGAGCCCGCGTGAAGGAGGGGCATGGTGGGGGTGAGATATGCGAGGTGGTATTTTTGTCCAAATTTGAGGGGATAATGATATAGAATATCCCAAGAGATTAGAGGCTAGAAAAATAAGCAAAAGAGGTTCTAAAGGAAAATCGTATCAAACTGTGGCAGAGGATTCAGCCGTTCGACCTCTTGGCCATTCTTGGCGATCCCCATGACGTCCATGTCTTTGAAACCAGAAATTGGCGTTTGTTATGTTTGATGATTATTGAGTTCTACTTTAATATTTAGAATCAAACACTTCATATGCATATGAGATATAAACATGTATATACAAGATACATATATGTGTATATAAATCATGTGGTGTATGTCAAAATAACAACAGTACCGTAGAAAGGTCACATCTGGAGATCCACGGTAGCATTGAGATCGAAGTTCCAGAAAGTAAATGCGACGCCGCTGCGTCGTATTGTTTTTTAGCCTATTTCAACCCCGCAGATATAAATTCCAACTTAAGCGCTCCAGATATTTCTTAGATATCCAAATACTTGAGATCTAATTCTTTTACTCGTTAATCATTTTCTCTACTCAGAATGTCCACCCCAAACCTAGATGCCCTCAAGCGCGATGGCTTTGTTGCAGTCCGCAACCTCCTCACCCCGGACGAGGTATCGGACTATCGCGAGATCGCTACAAAAGCAACAACCCTAACTCGCACCGGGGGATGGCCACACTTCCGCACCGTCCCGAAACAATTCCCACCATGGCCGACGACCGCACCGCCCGCCTCGGAGGGCGGAATCTGGGGCGTGCAGCACCTAATGCACCCGGAAATGCCAGGACGGGATGGTTTCGCTAAATGCTACTTCTCTCCGACTATTCTCGCCGTAGCAGAGGAGTTAATGGGCATTGAAAAGACCGACGAGACCGAGCCACTCGTTATGGAACTGTTCAACCTGCTCGTGGCACCGGAAACCAAAGACTTTGAGCTTCGCTGGCACCGCGACGATATCTCCGAGAAGGCGACTGCGGAGGAAGAACTCGCCCAGCTTGCAGCTAAGGCACCTGGTGGCCGTCAGTCGCATTGCCAGTATAACTTGGCGCTTTGCCCTGATGCGTCGCTGATTGTTATACCGGGGACGCATACGCGCGCTCGCACACAGGTCGAGCGTGAGGCGGATCCTTATGCTCCCGAGTTGCCAGATCAATTGGTTGTTCAGTTGCAGCCTGGAGATGCGGTGTTTTATAACAGCAACATTTTGCATCGTGGAGTTTATCGGGGGAAGAGTGAGGGTGGCGTGGAGACCAGGTTGACTTTGCATGGGAGTCTCGGGTTGAAGGCTTCTAGGGATGGGGGTGCTGATGCTGAGGAGAAGAAGAAGGTTAGGGCTACTGCGGTGCTGCAGCATGGAGTCGGGGCTTGGGTTAATCGTGATGATGCTGCCTTTGGACTTGGTAAGAGGGCTGAGAAGATGAGAGCTAATCTTGTTGAGATGGGGACTGGAGAGGGGGTTGGATATTCTTTGCAGGGATAGACTTTTCAAGACATCCTCAAGACATGACGAATATTGTTGCTTCTTGTTGCTGTTTGTATGTATTTACCACTGGATCTGGTTATCTTATGTATAGAGCAGAATGTACAAATGATGAAACTTTACAGTTGCGGGCTTGACCCTCCCTACTTGATCAAAACCTCCAGACAAAGATTGGGGAGTCTTCTGATCTTCCTGGTTATTGTTCAAATCTGCTCATGTGGCTAATAGTTCTGATATTTCTCTTTGCCCTTTTCTTTAGCAATGCTACTATCACCTATATACAAAAAGAGTAATAGACCCACCCAGATCCAATCACGTGCCTCTAAACTCAGTTGAGTTTCACGCTAACCTATATCTAGTCTAGTTCAAATCTCCCTTGGCCAGACTGATTCCACTTGCCAATCCAAAGATCTGTCCAACACTATCACTCACACACTCTGAAATGCTGCCTTGATCCTTGGTCTGAGTCAAGCAACCTCCAGCAGAGCTGCGCAAATGACCAGACATGAAGTGCTCCCAGTTGGTACCATGTCCACCATGGCACTTAGCAAGCGAAAGCTTATCTCCAGTAGCAGCAAGACAAAGCGAGTCATTCGACAGAGGTCTCAAAGTCAGCTTAGTGCCATCGCCCGTCTCCGGAGCATGCCAGACCTGGGAGTCCAAACCAGCACACTTCTCAAAGGTGACAGAATCAGTAGAAGCAGTCATGCAAAGATCGGCCGGAGTATTGAAAACCATGCCGGTAGGTGTGGTCTTAGTACACTTCTTGGCCATCGCAATACGGAAGACCTTGGCGACATGGGAATCGAGCTCGACTTTGATAGCAGAGTCGATAGTTAAGTCTTCGCCGGCGACGAGTTCGCGTGCTTCATACTTGCAAGAAGACGACAAACCAAGACGTGCGAGGGAGACAGTCGTTGTGGCGGTTTCGGCTCCGCGGTTCAGCACGGTCAGGAGTCTGTCTCCATTCTCCAGAGAGCGGGCCAGGACATCGAAGGTGCCATCGCGGCTGACGAGAGCAGATTGTTGCGACAACGGATCCTTGTTCACGGCAATGAGGGCCTTGTTGGAAAGGAATGCGATCTCCTCGTCCGAGAGAGCGGGGATGTAAGCACTGATAATCAGTGGCGCACCCATAGAAGACCAGAGCGCAAACTGAGATTTCTTCTCATTCATAGAGAGGCTTGGGTGGTCTGGGATCAGGAAGTCGGGATCGTTATAGTAGCCCGGTTGCTGGTAGCGCACGAGACGCACGTGGAAGTCATAGTTGTACATGATACTATTCCAGGCATTGCCCTCGACGGAGTAGGTGATCACATCCGCAGAGTGACGTGCCAGCTCGGCGGTCTCTGGGACCCAGTCCATGACAGTCGCCCAGTCCGCTGCGTCATCTTCGAAGTACGCAGGCGCGGAGTTGGAGAAGATGAGCGGCTTCGGCATGGCGCTCAGAATCTGGTGCCACTGCTCGTAGCGCACATGATACTCCTCGCGTATCGTGCGGCCTTCCTCCTCCCAGAGATTGCATCCGTCCAGCTTGAGGTAGTCGATGCCCCAGCTAGCGAAGAGTTCGGCATCCTGCTCCTCGAATTGGTAGGAGCCTGGATAGCCACCGCAGGTCAAGTTTCCGGAATCTTCGTAGATACCAAGTTGGAAGCCCTTGCTATTCACGAACTTGGCGAGCCAGGGGATGCCGTTCGGGAACTTCTCGGTGTCCCACTGTAGGGAACCATCCTTAGCACGGTCGTAGCTCATCCAGCAATCATCCAGCGTGAGGCGGTCATAGCCTACGTCGAGGAGACCGCGGTCTAGCATTGACTGTGCTGTCTCGGTGAAGAGCGTCTCGTTCAGATCGCACATGAAGCGCGCCCAGTTGTTGAACCCCATTGGGGGTGCTGGGGATAGGCTTGGGTTCCCAGAAGAGGCATGCACTGGTAGCAATGGGAGCGCTAGGAGGCCGGCCATGCTGCGGGCAGCCCAGCTTTTGGGCGAGACTGTCTTCATGATGTCTTTACAATAGGGGAGTATAGACAAGACGAGGTGGAATATAATATGCTTTGATGGCGTAGGCTTGGAATCGGCTGAGGCGTATATTGTGAAACAGGGCGGTTTTATGCTATTTAGGGCCCCTGAGCTCAACTTCCTTCACCTTCTTTACTGGCTAGCTTTCAAGCATTCCCCCGCACCGACGTCGCATCCAGAACGCACTGGGATCTGCAGTAATCGAGGCGGGGGATGTGATAAACATTGCGACGGTGCCATCCGACAGATAGCATCCTTAATGAAGTTGCATATATTTGCATACAACACGAAAGTTCCTTGGAAGGGTATACATTTTGTACTCAGATTCCAAGATCCGCAAGTGGAGAGACCGATCTTCACGGGACAATGTCGCGGTTGTACCCAATCACAGTGCTGCAGAGCTTTGGCCCAGAGTCAAGAGAAAAAAAAACCCCCATGTGAAATATGATGCATCACAATTTCCCCCAACACTGTATCTTCAACCGTATCTGTGGCATAGCTGAACCTGCATAACCGAGATGCGAAAAGTCCGGACTTTTCTGAGTGGAACACCCCGCTACTCAAGTCCAACAGTTTCTCCGATTCCTCCGATCTTCTAGGAGAATTGATATTTGAAACATTAACCACTGCTACGGTAGAGTGGTATTATCGCAATGCCTCCCGATTCTAAGACGAAAATACGCCCGCAGCAGTCCTGCCTCAGATGTCGCGAGCGCAAAGTGAAGGTACTCTCTTTCCTACGTTGCTATCTTACTATCTCTACTCCTACCTCGCTATCTCTACTCGCACTATTTATAATCCACTAATCACCACTCTCTTACTAGTGCGACCGGTCTATACCATGCCACGCCTGCATAATTCGCGGCCTCGAAGCAGAATGCACCTATCTAACAACAGCTGAAGATCGCGCCCACATCAGCCAATCCGAGATAATCAACCAACTACGCCGCGAAGTCGCACAGTTGCGGGGACGTCTAAACCAAAGCCCACGAGAAACCGGTCATAGCCAAAGCCAAAGTCAGAGCCAGCAATCGCGTCCGGACCAAAGGGTCGGATCATTGTCAGGAAACGGTCAGAGTTGGACACAATATACGCCTCCGCCCACGGGCTACAGCTATGACGGCCATAGCTATGCCAATGGCTCTGGATATGCGACCGGCGCTGGCGCTGGATTTGCCTCCGCGAGAGGTACCCCGGATACTAGTGAAGCCAGCTGGCGCGGGTCGTCGCCATCCTCGTCGATCACAACTATGACGAACTCTATAACTGTTACAAGTCCTGATAGTACGGGAAGTGAGAATGGAGCTGGATCGATGTCCGCTTCGTCACGGTCTGCTTCGGCTTCAGCTTCTGTTTCGTCTTCAGCTTATCCTATCGCGACGAGGTATGCGCCGCAAGTTGCGGAGCTGGATAGGGCGACTACAGTTGAGTCGCTTGCTTTTGGAAGTATGTTTTGCTTTTGTTCCGTTTTGTTTTTGAGCTTGTGTTAACTTTGGGTAGATACTGTAGAAGATGCGACAATGTTCGGTTGTACGGGGGGGACGTCCTTCGTTCCAGGGGATATGTCCGGAACAGTCCCAGTCCCGATGCAGGGTCTCCCTGTAAATGGGTTACACGCACAAGACGCGATGTTAGGGATGCACCATCCGCCGCTATATGGAGCCAATAGCGATGATTATATGCTTGACGGAGGCAAAGCACTGCCATACTTACAACACACTGGCTATCCCGCGCCCATATCAACAGCGACAGCAACACATTACGGGGAGGAATATCCAATATCAAATGAAGATGACAGGCCTTATGCATATCATCATTGGGGGCTAGATGCATACGGGAATCCGAATCCGAGTCCGAATCAAGTCCCGCATACGCATATATACCAAACCCCGTTTCATTATTCAACCATCAACACCTATCCAACCGAGCCCTTCTCCCTACCAACCCCGATACCCGTGGCAGGCGATATTTCAAGCCATCCTAACCCTATTTCCCAGGACCGTCCTTCACCAAGAACCATCATGAACTCAATGCCGAGCTCCTGGAGGGGTGAGGGGAAACAGGAACTGCTGGAAATCCTGCTAGAAACAATTGCTAGCTGTGACGAGCAATGTTTACCCCAGGTGATTCAGGTCTTGCGGACAAGTCCTTCGCCCGAAGAGGCTGTATCGGGGGTTTGTTTGGTTCTCGGGATTGGGAATGGGCGATGACGACGGTGTAAGCGCACACTCAAACCGAGTCCCGAATTCAGGACTAGGTATGTTGTGTGCATATGTTGAATGCATTAGAATCGAGTGGTTCGCGTCAGGTTCAGAGCTGGGTCTCTGGAAAAACCACTCGGTGGATATATCACATAGCCCGGTATCGCTTGTCGATACCAGACAAGTAAAGCCAGGTGGAGACTGTCCGAGACAGAATCACCGCATTGCACCACATCGTCTTCTCGTCCTCTCATGCATCACGATCTCGTCCATGTCCACATGAATATGAACATCAATGAAGTGAACGATCTGGTACATAGAAGCGCCTTTATACATTAATCCGCAGAAATAGAGTCATCAAGCCATAATTCATGTCATCAGGTAGGGGGGCCGACAGAGATGGGAGAAGAGGTATTCTTAATCTCAGTTACAGGTCGTGGGGTATCATTGTCATAATCATCACCACAATTCTGAGTCTCAAGACGCCTCGGAATCAGTGGTTTCGTCGTCGAAAGGCCGCTGCCCATAGACAAAGTGGAAGCGTGTATAAAAGTGGTGCGAGTTGCTCATCAACTGCTTCCGTACCTTGTCCATATAATCCTGTGCTTCCTGATAAGTGAAGCCCAGGACTCGAGTGAAGAGAGCCAGCGTGTACGGCTCGACAGCTTCCAAAATAGCTACCTTGCCGACGCGGCCGATTTCTTTGTAGCGGCGGTTCTTGGGCCAGCCACCAATAGGACACTGAAAGTAAGTCATAAGTCAATGTACACAAACAACAGCCAGGTAAAACGGCGTCCATACCTTATAAATATCATCAGTAATATTCGCAAACCCCTGCTCAGCCATCCACCGCGCAACCTTCGGCGAAATATCCATCGGCTTCCCAAACTTCTTACCAGCCTGCCTCAACAATTCAAGCCAGCCAGTAACAGCAGTAGCGCGCTCATGGGTCCCATCATCGGAATATACATCAACCTCAAAATCTTGCACCTCAAACCAGCCGCCAGGCTTAAGGTGCTGATAGACCTGCTTAAGCAACCTCTTCCAATCCCCGATACCGCCGTTCATAGATCTTGCATGGATATAGTCAAATGCTTCACCGGGCGAGAAAGCCCAATCACTCTCCGCGTCATCGATAAAGAAGCGGCAATTGGGCGGCGCCCAGTTCGGCTGGATGGGACTGAGATCGGTGCCGATGATATCCGCCTGCGGGTAGTCTTCGGCCATTTCTAGGGCCCATTCGCCGGTGCCGGTGCCAATGTCGAGGATGCGGCGTGGAGTGGATGCGTGTATCGGTGCACGGTGCAGATCCCCGCCCGTGACCAGTTTGAAGAGGTGGTGCAATAGTGCTAGGCGGTCTTGTTCTTCTTCGTCGTTTGGAAATGGGTATTGGCCGTTGCGGTAGGCGTGATAGCGGCGGCCATTTTCGTAGCTGTAGTCTCGGACGGAGGATACAAAGGATATGTTTGAGTTTGCGATGGTTTGGGTTTCGAAGAGGGAGTCATCATCGCTTGTCTGCGGGTTGTTAGTGGGGGTTGGGGATTTATTGGAGGTTTATAAACGAGGAAGAGTGGGAAAGATTCAAGACTTGGAGGTGTGAGATCGGCGAGGGTGATCTCTTTGTTTTTTTGAGCACTGACAGGTACAGAGGGATAGGGGTAGACATTGGATCAAAGAAGTAAAAGGGGATGATATACTTACGTCAATTTGAATGCGTTCATCGAGATTGGGCGGTGACATGGCGAGAGATGAAAGGTAGGGAGATTGAGAGGAGAGAGACAGAGAGAAAGAAAGAAAGAAAGGTAGGAAGGGAGGTTTTCTACCCTGTGAGCAGAAAGTAGAGGGGGAAGTGAAATGAAGCTATCAATTCCAAGAAACCTAAGAAACCCAAGAAACCCGAGAGAGAGGATACCGGGAGAAAGCCTAGCGTAGCCACTTATTTTTTTTTCCCTTCCCTCTTTCCACCTGGCCGGTTCAGTACCTTTGCTTTTTGTTGAAACCCCGCAGGAAATCCGACAGCCTGGTACGGGAAACTCGTCTATTCCAAATCGGTCGATGGTCCCCGGGATTTGGATTTCCAAGGTTTCAATTAGCCTTTTTGAATTGGTTCCCGGGATTTGAACCCTGGTTGACTCGTCTATAGGTGGAGCCCGAGCACTCTATACCAAGGGTGCCAAGGAGTTTATCTTTTTAAATAAAATATTTATTTTATTATTTTATTATTGACGAAAGTCCTGTAACAAGCATACAACATACTACTCTGTACATACATACATAGTACTGTGATTGGCTAGACTTCTAATACATATGTGTTCCGAGTGATTGCATATAACTGAGAGTATCTGGGCATCATGAAGTTCTCGAAATGACATTCTTACTTGACTATACTAATACGGAGTACGGAGTACTCAGACAGTTTAATGCCCTGCGTGATATGTCATAAGCTGATATTACGATAATCCCTCCGCCCTTGTCTATCCATACAATAATAGACAGAAGGAGGCATATGTATGTACATACCCGTGCCAAGCGCCCAATACCTATTTTGGTATAGTCGTTGGGCGCTTGACACATCCACCTGTAATTGCACGGTTGAGAAAATCAGAGATTCTGCCGAGTATGGAAGGCGGAGAGAAGACTAGTCCTAGACCAACTACACTCTATGAGCAGGAGTCCTGCGACAACCGGATTTTACCCGCACCCCATCAAATATATATAACCACTTTGAACTATATATATCTACACCACCAATGCATTAAATATATATAAGAGTAGTATTAAAATGTAGGTAAATAGCTAAAGAATTCAATGCATTTAATATTTGGTGTAATAACCTCTTGCTTTGCGCGTAGCAAGTAATCTTCTAGGTACAGATCGGATCAAATCGTCAATTACACCTTGATCAAGTGCATCGTATATACTATCATCGACTTATCTTTGCGATCCCATCACGTAGCGATCAGATATCATCCATCTCTAGGGTCCTCAGTTGAGCCGCCCTGTGCCCTCTGGCTGGTCATCCCTTGCCCCGATCGAACACGGGTGGATATCATGCCTAAAGCTCGGCCCCGATCCTCAAATCACAGGTCTCTAGATATATTAGCCACGCCATGGATAGCCCCACACAGTCTACGAGGAGTAGTAGTAGTAGATACATAATTACTATACCAGTAAGATACTTATTCCCACGCAAATTGAATCTGGTATAACAAAGATAGGCCTTAAATTTGCTGCCTATCATCCTTGGAAGGCAGAGTTCTATCCACTGAAACGACCAACCATCCGGGTACCACTGCACGCCATAAGATCGTTTGCGAGAAGATGCAAGATGGCGGTTGGCACAAGGAGCAATGCTGCATCTGCCACTGACTGTTTCAGCTTGCTCCCAATGGTGGTCTGAGTTGAAATTGCAGTTTACATTCCTACTATGGACTTCCTGATGCCTCAATGGTCGTCCCGGGCAATAGCAAGTACTTTTAAGATCCAGTCATTCTGGAAGTCAAGATTTCGAGTAGATGGTGCCCGTGGGGTTTTATCCTGTCTCGTTGAGAGTCCCAAAAGCAATGATACCAAAGACTGGCGACTACTCTACAGGTGTACAGCAAAGGTCGATCGGGATCATCATCCTCGACTTATACCGTTTTGGCAGCAGCGGAAGGATAGCCGATGGCTGAGGGCAAGATGCTCACTTACTGCAGCCTCAGACGAGCAAATTGCTTCTCAATCCAACTTACTCAATGAAGTAGCGCTATGCTGAAAGGAGGCTTCCGCTGAGATTCAATCTGCAAGATTTCGCAAAGATGGGAAAGACTTGGGATCTGCAAAGCTTGCTGGATAGAACATGATCCGTTTGTACAAGCCGTTCCATTACAAAACTCTGTGACTAACTTGGCCGTGTCTATCATATAGGGAGGGGCAGTGCCTTTTATTACTGGATTTGACCTACTGAGTGCAGATACGCGCATCACTTTTGGCTATCGACTACCGGGGGCACAGGTTTTGATTGACATCGAGGACAAGTAACTTGGAGGATTTGAGGTTGACATCGGCAAATGCGGCATCCATACGATACGCCCCATCTTCCATACAGGTCACACTTTGGAATTGATAGGTCAACCAGGGGGTTACTGTCCCTGAGAGTCTGTACAGATAGTCTCAGAACAAGACATCAAAGCTTTCTCCGGAAAGTTCGATGTAAGTCACTTCTGTCCCAGCTGACCAATGCCTATTAGGTGCTCCTATAACTTGCAATTCCTCATAGCTGCAATTGCAATGGATCCTAGCAGCGTGAAAGGGCTGCCGAAAGGAGCGATGCGGAAATTGAAACATCCCTTCCAAGGCTCCAATGAAAAGCCTAAAGGATTTTACCCCACGTTGTGAGATCCATAGAATAAATAGGCTTCAGGCGAACGGGTCGGTCCTCTCTGTCCGCCCCGTTAGCTAAATTCGTAACTTAAGATATATCAATACTGCGTCCTAGAGGCGAAACAATCAAGATCAATCGCCACATTGATGATGCTACACAGATAGCTTTTTATTGAGGAAAAGTAAGCGCTAGAGACTGTACGGAGTTCTCCGTACAACAATGGAGAAAATTAGCGCGGTGCGTTTTAGATACCTAGTAGACAGCCACCTACTTAATCGCGTGCTCAGTTTTACCCAGTGACCACAAAGCGGTAAATGGTGAGCACTAACACAGAAATGGAAGCCAAGAGACCAAGAGACAGCTATTCATTTTAAGTATACCCAAGCCTGGTGAGATAGCCTAACTCGGCTGGGAACCCATATACATAGATTTAGAAAGAAAGCTTGGGAAAAAAATCACCGAAAAGGACTCCAGAAGAAGCAAAAAAAGAGAGAGGAAAAAAAAAAAGCAAAACCTAAAGTAACAGGGATCACCCACCTGGGCATAGTCTCAGACCCGGCTGTCTGGTGCGTCTCCACATGGAACGGATAATCACTGGGTGGAACCTTGGAACCCTCGACCGTGGGTCTCGGGAAGAACCAAGGAATTGGATGCTGTCTGCAAGGAAGAGACAGGGATGTCTTTGCTTGAGTTTTCTAGTACCCCCCGTTTCAATCCGTACAATATACGACTTACCGCATAACTATGTAGCTGTAGGAAATGCTCACACATTTAATAATAGGGTGCTGACATCAAATAACTAAATGAACAGGTCCTTATATCTCTGTCTTCAAATAAGAAGTTTTTATGGCCAACTCAGCCTTTCCCGCGAAGTAATATAATTCGGGCAATCAGGAAATAAATGGCGGCGCTAGCGTCCTGGGGTCGAAAATTTCATCCGACATTACTATACAAGTGGATATCTCCACTCCATTCATAATATTCCATCCAATTATCCCATCGCACTTCATACTCAGCATGGAATACAATAAATTAGAGGCCGTGTAACGAATGATTGGAGGGCATGTACGTTGTTGGGACCCTCCCATGACTCTTATTATTGTAGGTTTGTATGCAATCCCCGAAGCACCCAAATCGCTTTTGGCAAAACTTCCGAGCACGATAGCCCACAATATGATAGTCTAGTGACATCACGCTAGGGTTTACAATGGAATGTGCACAAATAATATCAACACAAAATAAGGAGATGATAAATAGACAAGGCTTATCTAGGTAGAGATTTCCTTACTGAATAATCTAGCCCTAGTCAGAATATGGGAATTAGCGATTTTGGTATGGCAATAGGCTTGATCACGTACATTCTTTGACCTTCTGGAAAATAATCCCTCTAGCCGGCTTCCAAAATAACTTCAAATCTTCACCTGGGTGAGGTTTACAGAAATCAACCTCAACGACTTGAATCCTTGTATTCTTGCTGGCCCCTTCAGTTTGACCAAGGCGCCCTTTCTCCTGGGTATTGGTAAATGCAATAGATTCTCTAGTCCCGACCTGAACAGCATTTAGCCACTCAAGCTGTTGCTCATTGTCATAGAAAGCTTTTGATATGATTTTCCCAATAAAAAACCAGAAAGGCCAAGGTTTGTTAAAATCATATGGGATTCCGGCGACAGACTGCATGATGGAGTCCAGTCTGTTGTCAGAAAGGCTTATCAAAATTAAATGGTTAGAACCTTGGCTAGAATAAGGGCCAGAAGAGGCCATCCATGAGGATGTCACTAACTGAACAACAACATGAGTGATATCTGATAACAAGAGGTCTTTAAATTGGTCTTCGGCTATTATCTTGACTGAAGTAACTGGGACTGTAATGGCCTGGTAATCTGGCAATGTTTCATCCATTGTTTCCGACGCACAAGATTTGTTAAAATCGATGTCTGTGACCGTGTTACTATTTCAGGAATGAGACTCACCTAAATCGATAGATCACGTGCTAAAATTATAATACTACACCATGATCTATCCATACATGTATGTACACGGATATATGTAATTAAGAGATAGCACGATGGAACAAGGGGATATGGAACAGGGGTGGAATGGGAAAATGAAGGAGCAAGCTGGAGCTCCTTCCCAAAGTTGTGCTTTCCTTGATTTCTCCTCCGCCCATCCCATTTTGCTGCATCCAGTCCATTTACTCTATTTACTTCCTTGATTCTCACGAACCCTTCAAATGAATAGGCCTTTAGCAATATTAATTCGACAAAGAACCAAGATGTTGTGGACATACTGCATATGAAGTCTCGAATAATAAACAGCTCACTTTGGGGCAGACAAAGAACTAGCATTCGTGGACAGCGCTAATTCGTTCCAGACC